TGGGGCAGCAGAGAACCCAAAGAGTCAACGGCGAAAATGAGCGGCCCAGTCGTGTGTCTCGCACCCTGTTCCCTTCCCACCGTTTTGAGCATGTTTTCCGGATCCATTACGCCACGACAAGGGACCGCGTAGATCATTCCTGATCACCGCGTCGAGGTGGGCTCGGCTGACAGTGAGATTCACCAGGATTTCGTGCGGCCAAGTCTCAGATCAGCCGGATCAGAGGGGCTGCCAACCAATGCCGTCTTTGCCGGATCACGGGTGAATTATATTTCGCCTTCGATCTAACCGTACTTTCGTATGCTATGCGCATCGCCGCCGACGAATCCCCATAAGCAAGGTGTTCGGTACGACTTCCATTCATGGTTGCGGCGGTACCTGCCGCGGATATGCCTTCCTCGTCAGAAGACGGAGAAGCTGATTCAGTATGGGGAACCATATGTCCAGTGCCGCTGTTTCAGCCGCTCAACTTCGAGATCCACTTCTGCAAGACATTCAAGCCATTCACCAGCTAACCATCTCTGGCTCTGCAAAAGCACGACCACATCAAACAAGGCATGTGGAGCTCGCAATGTGAAGCTCATGTAACCTTCGAGCCGGACCAGTTGCGTATCAGCGGCCGCCGATACTCGATAGTGGATTCAAATTGTGGAAAAGCGATATCTTCCAGACATGACTGGATACCTGAGGCTTCTTTTTCTAGGCCCCTGTTCAAGTGACTCGGCCTGACCCACCAACGTCCGCGTCGGCCTGCCTCACTCCCCTGTCATTGCAGAAATCGTTAGCGCACCCTCCTCCGCGTGGCTGACGCTCAGCGAGTTTATTCGTGAACGTTGCGTGACAGGACGTTAGTATCGTTTGGCCGGCGCCATCACAACGCTACCGGCGATACCATGAGATCGCTGCTACTGCTACTTGCTCACGGCCTTGCTCACCGTATCCGGTCTACTCCAAGTGTCAGATCTCGAGGAGTCGCCTCTAGTGTTACCCCGTTTCTTCCTTATTCAAGCCAGCAGTGCGACGGGGTGAGGAATCAATAGGTGACCTGGTGAGAGTCTCCTGCGGCAGCACAAGGCTTGCTTCTGAAAAGTGGTCCGACATACGCATACGGCTTGTAGCCCGCCGCATGATTTCCACCACTGGGAATCTTCCTCCCTTTGCAGTGCTCCAGAAGGATCACATAGTCGCGATCGGCGTCGATCTATGCTCAACATGATCCGCAATTATAGCGCCAGGGGGTACTCAAGGAGAGTTTTGTTCACACGGCGGTCGATTCACAGGTGCATAATGAACGCAGGACCAAGCTCACCAGTTTGCCGCTGTCAATGCGCTGGACTCTAGACCTGGGATTATGCTGAAGCAGTGGCCTACGCCGTTAGTGACCGTTGTTCTTGTTTTTTCCGCAACGTCTATCCGAAGGAAGCTCTTTGTGGGACACAAATGCGCAGGCCATCGACGATGCGAAGGAGTCGAAGGATGCACCGCAAGATTAGCCCGAGGGGCCCACGACACGTCAATCACGAACCCACGATCTCCGTTTGAACTTCGGCTTCTAATGACTAGCACAGGTGAGACCCGGTGCCGCGGGCAGATCCCAAGTGCTTTCCAATGATTACGGATCAGCCTGCCCGTCTGAGATCGAGTTCATGTGTCGGCACCCGCGCATATCTCGCATTCGGAAGCCCACCCGCTACATCCTAATCTGCAAAGGTCATCACACGTAGGGGCACAACCGCGCCAGGGTTTTGGATGTCGGGCCCCGCGACAAAGACGAAAAGGTCGCGAAAGACTTCGCAGCTCGATGACCCAGTGACCCTGTTGATACAGCGAGGCGCTTCAGTGTATGCAGCTGCAACAGTATCCTCCGAAGCTACTGCTGCAACTGAATATTGGGTGTGTTGCATTGCATATCGCCGAACAGCGCGCAGCAAACGACACTGCCGTGAGCAAGGGTGGGGCACAAGATCACTGTCACGGTCTGTCGGTCCTTTAACAACGTGAAACTGTCAGCAGATCCACGTTTATCGACCTGGCTGTCGGGAGCCGCACCGCCTAAGTCAGATGTGTACGTGGACATCACTCTATCTAAACCTAATCTCCATCAACTCCGGGTAAGGGCTTTTACGTGTGGTGGGCATGTAATACCGGTCGGGCTTATGCAGCCTGAGGATCATAGCATGGGTCTTTGTCCTTGCTCCCTTTGACCTACCCCATGTTGGTAAGCTCCGTGCAATCTCGATCGTTCAAGAATATGGGTTTTATTTTTCGTTGCCAGACTGCATGCATGCGATACGATGGGCTCCGCAGGCAACGCAGCATATCACTGTGCCGTGCGTGAAAACTGTTGCAGATACATTGGTACTTCGCCGACGACGTTTACCTGCAGCCGAAGGAAGGGGGTGGTTGCGGGCCTAAGTTCGATGAGATGTAACGTACATCGCAATATCTGTTTAGCTTCTGTCCTGGATCATGTCGATACCCGAACCCAGTGCGGGATCTGCCAGCCTGCGCGCTCCAAACTTGATATGCCGCAACGGAGGCAAGTATGACGACATGAACGGGCCCACAACGTCTATCACCAAGGTCCCAGATCAAGACACTCCGAAGCCCCCACTTTCCGATACGTGACCGACATCATACTGGAACAACAACTTGGTCGGAACACGAGGAAGGGGTCTTGGTTACTGTACCAGAAATGCAAGGCAAGCAATATACCTGCCACTGCGATCCTTCTACGTCATTCGTGGGAAAACCACACCCCTGGTAGATGTAAGAGCACGCACGCATAACTCATTGCACTCCCGCACACATCCTGCAGCCAGCCAGCCACCCCAGCTTACCCGAGCTCGGAGCCGCCGCAATCCCATCCCTCCCTTCCCTTCCCTCATCACATCACACACCCTCGCTCTATACCAGGGTAATCTTATCATCTGCATCTCTCCCTCGTATATCCCGCCAATTCGCCAAAAGGCTTGGGTCATAATGGCAGGCCCCCAGTCTACTAATTACTAACTTGGTTCCGGCAGCGGTTCTTCTTTTCTCTCCGCATATGCGCCGTTGATCCGCCCCTTCTGCACTGTTGCTCTCTCCACGCTCGTATGACGTGTGCCATTCCGCGCACCAAGCTCTACAGTACAGTGACGCCGGATGGAAGGGTCTCCGTGAAATAATGCCGCGCCTTATATGTACGCTGTACCTTCGCTTCACCTCAGCCTTTTCGTCTGTCTGGCGAATCGCTTAGGTGTACACCGTACCATATACTCTTCTCGCTCAGTCGCTCACGCGCGCCTTTATGCACACGCGAATGCATGATATCCATACACTAAAGCCGCAAGCGAGGGCTGCGTTCTCTGTCTAGTCTGCTCGCGATTCGTCTCCTCATCGTCGATTTTCCGTGCGTTCATTTCTGCCACCGGCCAATGACTTCTCCTGCATTTTCTTAGTGAAAGTGACGGTGTGTTGTTGGAACGAGCTGTCAAGGGTAAGCGAAGGATTCTTGACAGTCGCAAGATGATGCGATGCGGGCTTAGCGCGGATCTATGATCTGAGGTGATCGCGCGGGTCAAAAGATGGGGCTGGCGTTTGCAGAAAGGTTGGTCGTGATGGAGGGTGGTGACGTGGTTGTGACGGCTGGGAAGGCAGTGTGTGGCTCGGGTGAAGGGCTGGTGTATGGCTGTGTCGATGCCAGCGCGGTGTATTGTGCCGTATACGAATGGCGGGTCATGAATGTGTAAGGTGTTGCCTGCGGGAAATACTCTGCAGTTGATACGTCAATGTGAAGTCGCCCGGGTCGGATCCACGGCCTCCAGTATATTGTTTGATACCCATTGCGAGGTGTGGAAAGCCAAGCAGCTCAAAGGAGACGACGCCAGCATTCGATATTGCAACCGATTCCATAGATTACAGGAAGACCAGACAAACAGGACGCTACATGTGAGAAGAAAGACCACCATATCAGTGCCTTTCGCGTTACCTCCAGGAAGTGCTGAGACATCGCTATCTTCGTATGCCCTCAAGCTTTTCACTTTTATACGTGCGTCACTTCATCTATATTTCCACCTTTATCTACTCACTTGCAATTTTGAACGACCTTTTCAACAACATCTGCTATATTGTATGCGCCATATCAGCAACTTATCAACCGTGAATCGAAATCATGAGATACTGCTGTTCTGTTGGAGTTCTACTTCACAACCTAAGATTATAATCCGGTAATATCCTCGATACAACGGGAGAAGTGCTTCTATGCGCATCAGCGGAGGCAAAATAGGGAATATAACCACTGTAACATGATGTCGTCTTGGGGTGTATACCTTGCGCTAGTAATATAGCTACGTAAAGGACAGACGACATAGCGAGCGGCCTGGATAACATGCCTTCCGCCACGTATACATGGTTAGTAGCAAGTGTCATTCTCACGAGACTGGAAATCGCGCAGATAAACAGTATCAGAGTCTGGAAGTATGAGCTCAACATGCTTTCATTGGTATGTGTGGAAGTTCTATTTTTAGTGAGCGCGGAGTCTCAGTCTCAAATGCATCGCCAACTCTTCGATCTCGACTGTCACATGAATTGAGTGAGTATCACAACTACTCGCAATCGCTTGATCACCCGATGCAATTGCGCGTATCCGGCGAGGTACGCATAGCTCTATACCTGGGCTGCCTCGATGAATATGCACAAGTTATGTCGAGGCACTACTTGTCGACCGCTTCAGATGCGGAGAAGTTGCACGCTCGCCTGGAGTGCGAAATGAAGATATGGATGCAAACATCCACTGGTATGCGTACATAGTACTAGCGAGCCGTTCGGCTCGGGTCAGGAGAAGGGGAGGGGAGTGTGATGCACGTTATTATGCACAAATGTGGAGACTGAACATAGGAATACAACGAGATATGCCAATTGGAGCTAACGTGGAACCCTTGACATGTATGACAACACCCGCTCATACCTGATTGTTATGCGTATCCCCGTTCTGCGTAGATAGCCGCAACATCAGACTACTCTCCTCGTGCCCACATATCCATACCCGTGAACCAGTAGTAGGCATCCATAGGGAACGTATCGAGATAGAACATCCCAATCAGCTTTTGCCCATCCATGACCCGCGTATAAGACTCGAGCATCGTCAAATAACGCTTCGTCTCCGGGTCTACGAAGCGCCGCGGATCATCTCGTTTGTATACGGCACGGTCGACGTTGCCGTAAATCTTATCTCTGAAGTCACTGTTGACGAACAGAGCGGCAGGGCCTTTGCCATCTGGTGCGGCGGCTGCAAGATCAGCAACTATCTGTTTGGTTGGAACCATCGCGAAGGCTGAGTATACAAGCGAAGATTCGTCGATGGCCAAGAAACCTTGAGGATCAGTCACTACCTCGATCGGTACAGGCAACTCAGAAAGAATCTGGCGATCGCGGACGGTGTAAGCGGGATCTTGCGCAACGATTCTGATGGGCTTCTCGAGTGGCATGCCTTCTGCTTCGTACATTCGTGTTAGATATTGAGCGAGAGCAGAGGCAACGATGTGCTGTGTTATCGAGTTGATATGGTTTGGATCTAAGGTGTGCAACGTTCCTAGGCCTATGCAGACGATGTTGGAGATTCGAGCCGTGTGCTTGAGCTTTTGCACGCTGTCGAGCAAGTGAGAGCGAAGGTGACTCTTGCGCCAGAGTCTTTTGGATACATCCACCATATCCATCAGTTCGCTGAAGTCGTGAAAACTCCCACGCTCTTCTACCCTTTGACCAGCTTCGATCGAGATCGGGGTTATGTCGTCGTTGTTTATGCGGTCATCTTGCCAATCAGTGGCAAGATAATGTATTCCCGCGTATATCAAGACAGGTATTTCACTGTCGACACGTTAGAATCAGAGGTAGGAGATCTGATGTGTACAAGTTGATCAAACATACTTTGGTTGAAGTAGACGTGGCGCTGAGCGGACCCGCCTCTCACCACGGTAGTTTGTCAGTGTGACGTCTCGACCATAGCGAGCTGCAGTAAGTTGATTTGCGGCATCAAGCATTGTCGAGCGATTGAACATTGGTCGATCTCCAGTTGAATCTCTGAAGGCCTTGAGGTCTATGACAATTTGGGAACCGTTTGTGGATCCAATTCCGATTTCATCAAGTACATCGGCGAGACGGTCGTGGGCTTGGAGTGGAGGTGTTTTGTCGGTTGAACACTGGAAATCCTGCCAGGTCATGGGGTACATACCCGCCCACATCGTAGCTGCTGGCATGGCTGAGAGGTTTGTCCCAAAGGACGCAGGGCACACGCCCCATGTGTTCTCCATTGCTATTGGTTATCGTAGTGCTAGGAAACTCGGTATCGAATGAGACGTCGAGAACGATCGGAGTGGATAGTCGGAAACCGTGACGGGCGATATGCTGACAATGGTGGAAGTGTGGGACGATGTTGTGTTGGGGTAACGATGTTGACAATGGATTGATGATGATGCAGAGTGTAAGAGATGCGTGAGGATAGAAGTAGACATGACCCAAGCTTGTGAGCAGATGCCTCATGTACGTATGCCACTGCCGCTGACGGTAATGTGAGGGAAGAACAGACCCGGATCCAAAGGTTGGGCAAGATCGTACCACAGCATAGCCGATAAGTCCATGTGGAAATGTTCCAATCGCCACTTGAACTGCTTTTGTAGCCATCAGAAGTATATTCCAGTTACCTTGCGATCCTTGAACTGCTTTGGTAGCCATCAGGAGTGTCTTCCAGGTACCCCGTACTCCTTGAGCTGCTCTTGCGTATCATTCATCAGAAGTGTGGCTTCCGCGCAGGCGATCGCGATACCGTATTCAATTTCCTACATTGAGTAGAAGCTGCGAATGAGATGAGGACATCTTCCTTGAGAGACAATGAGCGAGCGCAACGCGTAAGACACGCGCATGCATGAATGCGAGGCTTCTGTGGACCATCGCGAGGCGTGACTCTTGGAGTGAGGCTCATCGTAGCCGGCCTGAGCAAGCTCCGCGATCCTGAGCGAAAGCGCGTTGAGGTAAGTTGGGAGGTGCAACCACTCTTGAGGTGGCTGCTGTGTTGCAGAGTAGGCGCGCAGGGACGATGACGCGATCGCGCGGAAGTGGACCACTAGCGTCCTTTCCTGTCGCGTTGTCCCCACGTGACGCGTCTCTTACCCTCCAGTACCTTATACAATGGATAACATGAGCAGGTGCGCTAAAGACTACATTACAACAAAAGCGTGAGTTGTGAGAAATAATGAGGCGATCTTATTAGTGTTTTTTTCTTGAATTTACTTTGTGGAGGTAGCTGTCTAGTTTTTCACCTGGATGGGTGCCAGGGCTCCTTCGGTCCGCATCGTCATATGGTCGCAAGCTTCATCCAGGCGCTCGTTCACTGTCAAGATAATTGAAAAGACTGCTCCAGGTACATACTACCTGTTGGTCTCTGTTCCGTCGGCCATAGCTTGGACGGCCTCAATTTTCACCTTGGCTTGGGCGCGTGTCGCCACCCGTGTGGCGCCTAGTATCAGCGAAGAAGAGAATGCGCCTTTAACTCGGACTAGACTCTAGTATTAATCCTGGCGGGTTGGAGAAACTGTATCTTGGTATGTGGGTTGATTGTGATAGCTTTGAGGTCGTTCGCTCGAATGTTGTTGGGCGCTTCACCGCAGTACCGTGGTCGTTGATATCAAGCCCGTTACGCGCTCGCTATAACATGTAATACATGGTTTCAGCATCCAGCACTCCCAAGGAACATTGTATGAGCTCTTTCGATTCTTCAGAGCATGAAATGGTAGTATACTCCAAGCATAAAACATAGTATAGATAGTCTCTAAGCGGCCTTGGTATACTCGTAGAGTAGCATGTTCAATGCCATAGCGCATGAAGTTTGCTGCGACAAGAAAATCACGCTCGAAGAGCCCAGAGCTTCGTTTCATGAACAGAAAGCCACAATGGCGTGCTTTCCCTGGCCGTTCCCGATGCTACGAGCGGGATTCACGTCCTCTGACACTCACTCATTGCGTAACCCAATCTAGCCTTGCGGAGTTATTCACGCCTGGGCATGCCTAGACGACTGTAGGTAAGGCAGCATCACCATTTGCAGGTGGATAGAGATAGATCAAATCACCTGGATAGAGTGGTACTCTGGCTATAGCCTGGCCTGGCACATCTAAATCGTGGTGATTTCTGGAGTGCAAGACACCTATGGACTGGCACATAAGCTGCGACATTCCTCTACCGCATACGTGTGTTCAGCTGACCACATTTAAATTTATTGCAGCTCGCAGCCATGTGTAGCGCTGAGCCTCTGCTTACCAAGATACAATTTTGAATGTCGAGATAGCATCCACAATACCATGTTTCGTGGATAGGGTCTTGTGTACCTGCGGCAGTTATCGTTGCTAGCATCGGCTACAGGTACTTTGTTAGTAAGTCGCTCAATCCTTTTGTTGAGACTTTCGCGCGCTAACGCCGTTAGTGTTTGCGTGCCTTACGCTGTTCCGGCAGTAGTTCTGCATACAGTGTTCTGGGGTATTCAAAGACGAGATTGTGGTACAAGTGACGGATGCGACGAGGAGCAAGGAGCCTCGAATTACGGACACGCATATGATGCTCGGGCATCAGGGTCCAGTTGTAACTGGACGAGACGCGTGCGACACCGCAAGCCAGGTTTCGAAGCCTCTCGGGCTTTTGAGTTTGTCGCATCAGAGTCGCGTCGACAAGTTTCCTTTACCATGTTTCAGCGTGAGCCAATTAGGCATGTGCTCTGGTAAGCAGAGATACGGTGTGGGCGCAGGAAGGTATATCCGGCGAACATCAGGAATGCAGGGAGCCGAAGGGGACTAGGGCGGGCGAAAACCATGCAGACCCGTGGGTGGAATAATCAGAATCTGAACAATTTTAGTGCAGCCAGCGCGCGTATATACAAGCCGCCCCTCCACGCTCCCTTCCGTCTATCTGCCCTCGCTTTTGCAGTTTTCTTGTATTGTATAGACTCTCCACTCTTCCGTTGGGGCGTCTCTACATTCTCGCTTGATACCCGGGGTTTTCACCCTCTCGCGCTGTCGGGCACCGCTTACGCTTCAGCCGCCGCGAATAATTTCATTCCGTATCGATAAGCCCCTCCACCAAAAAGAAATCGCTCGTCGCAGATTCACAGCGCAGCACCACCCAACCCAGAGACCGGCTTCTTTCGCAGATGCCGCACTCTGAGTCGCCGCCTATGGCTCCCGCTATTGTCGTCGACAAGGCCAGCGCAGCCCCTGCGCCCTCGCAGGAGGATGTCAACGCCTTCATCAGCAGCATCGTCACCGCAAAGACGTCGCACGCCTCGGTCGACGCCGCCTACGCCCTCACCACGCTCCTCCAGAACTCAGTAGGCTTCCGCGGCCTTACTGGCTATGGCATACTCGAGGAGATCAAGAAATCGGCGGCCAACAAGAAGGATGCCGTGCGGAGAGAGGGCGCCATGAACGCCCTCGGTGCCTTCTTCGAGCGCCTCCCGCGCACACAACGCCTGACTGAGGCCATCTTCCTCGTCCAGAACGAAGGTCTCGTACCCATGGTCCTTGACCTGCTGGCAGACAAGACTGGCTCCGTCAAGGAGTCGGCCAAGTACGCTCTCGACTCGCTGTTCGAGAACCTCAGCGCTGAGGCCAAGGTCTTCGGCCTCTTGCCTGTGCTGACCAAGTACCTGGGCAAGAAGTCCGGAAAGTGGCAGGGCGCTGCTTTCGCCTACGAGCTCATCGGCCGCATGGCTGACAAGGCCAAGATGGGCATGGAGAGCCTCGAGGTCGAGAAGGAAAAGGATGTTCTCCGCGAGTCCATGGGCAAGAAGCTCGAAGGTCTCATCCCTATCGTCGAGGCCGGCATGCACGATCTCAAGAACGAAGTAAGATCTCCTACGCACTATTTCACAGCCACCGTACTAACCATGAACAGGTCGCAAAGCAGTCTGTCAAGACGATGAACAGCCTCACTACCCTCCTCCAAAACGACGATATCGCACCCCGGATACCCCTCCTCGTCAAGGCCATCGAAGACCCCTCCACAACAAGTCTGCAGAAGGCCATCCACGCTCTCTCCCAGACCACCTTCGTTGCTATCGTCACATCACCCGTCCTTGCTATGGTCACACCTCTGCTTGAGCGCTCTCTGAACATGCCTTCCACATCACAGGAGGTCACCCGCCAGACTGTCGTCGTAGTCGAGAACTTGACCAAGCTCGTTCACGACCCTATCGAGGCCCGCGCCTTTTTGCCCAAGCTTCGCCCAGGTGTGCAGTCCGTCAAGGACCGCGCTTCCCTGCCTGAAGTCCGCGAGATCGGCCAGCGTGCGCTGGACGTTATCGAGAAGGCCATGGCCGACCCAGACCACAACATCGACAGCGGCGCCATCGCGAGGACACAACCATCGGATGTTCAGAAGGTCATCGAGAAGCAGATCACCGCTTCTGCCAACCTCCTTGACTTCCCCGGAGACGCGGAGGTCTTGGCTATCACCAAGAGGTACATCTCCGAGATGATCGCTGAGGTTGTCGATCAGCGCGAGCTTCAGCGCCTCCCAAAGCTCGTTGGCCCCTATCTGGAGCCTTTGCTCAACGCCGGAGACGCCGATAAGGTCGCAGAGGCCGTGCACCAGTTCTACGTGGACGAGGACCACCGCAAGTTCGGTCAGCCCGTAAAGGAGGATGACGGAGAGACGGAGATTGTCAACGCTGTCTTCTCTCTAGGATACGGTGGTATGTTGCTCCTCTCGCACACCAACCTTCGCCTGCTCAAGGGCCACCGCTACGGTCTTTGCGGTCGCAACGGTGCTGGAAAGTCAACCCTCATGCGCAGTATCGCGAGCGGCAAGCTGGAAGGTTTCCCTTCTCAAGACGAAGTCAAGACCTGCTTCGTCGAGCACAACCAAGGAGAAGACGCTGATCTCTCTATTCTTGAGTACATCGTCCGCGACCCGCGCTTCGCGGACGAGAGCCGAGAGCGTATCTCCGAGGTTCTCGAAGAGGTCGGCTTCACCGCTGGCCCCGAAGGCAGGCAGTCCGCCAAGGTCGGCTCTCTGTCCGGAGGATGGAAGATGAAGCTCGCTTTGGCCCGTGCTATGCTTATGCGCGCTGACGTGCTCCTCCTTGACGAGCCCACTAACCATTTGGATGTTGCCAATGTCGCTTGGCTCGGAAAGTACCTCAAGTCCCACACTGAAATCACTAGCTTGATCGTTTCTCACGACTCTGGTTTCCTCGACGAAGTCTGCACCGACATTTACCACTACGAGCAAAAGAAGCTGGTCTGCTACAAGGGCAACCTGGCTGATTTCGTTCGACAGAAGCCTGAAGCGAAGAGCTACTACACGCTCTCGGACACCCAGGTCAAATTCAAGTTCCCTCCTCCTGGTATCCTCACTGGTGTCAAGTCGAACACTCGCTCCATTCTGCGCATGACCAACTGCTCTTACACCTACCCGGGCGCTTCCAAGCCATCGCTCACCGATGCTTCTTGCAACTTGTCTCTGTCATCCCGAGTCGCCATTATCGGGGCCAACGGTGCCGGTAAATCTACTCTCATCAAGATGCTTACTGGCGAGACCGTCCCTCAAGAAGGTACCGTCGAGAAGCACCCCAACTTGCGTATCGGTTACATCAAGCAGCACGCTCTTGAGCACGTCGAGATGCACATGGAGAAGACTCCCAACCAGTACCTCCAATGGCGTTACGCCAACGGTGACGATCGTGAGGTGCTCATGAAGCAGACACGTGTGCTCAGCGAGGAAGACAAGAAGCAGATGGAAACTCCCATCGATCTAGGCGACGGCTCAGGCCCCCGTAGGATCGAGGCACTCATTGGTCGTGCGAAGTACAAGAAGACCTTCCAGTACGAGGTCAAGTGGTTGCACATGCTGCCCAAATACAACACCCAGATCTCGCGTGAGACGCTTCTCGAGAAGGGCTTCTCCAAGCTTGTCCAGGAGTTCGACGATCACGAGTCGTCGCGTGAGGGTCTCGGTTACCGTGTCCTGGAGCCCAAGGTCATCTCCAAGCATTTCGAGGATCTCGGTATGGACCCCGAGATTGCGAACCACAACGAGATCTCTGGCCTTTCCGGAGGACAGAAGGTCAAGGTCGTGCTTGCCGGTGCCATGTGGAATAACCCCCATCTTCTCGTCTTGGACGAACCCACCAACTTCTTGGACCGCGACTCTCTCGGTGGTCTCGCTGTTGCCATCCGCGACTACAAGGGTGGTGTGATCATGATCTCGCATAACGAAGAATTCGTCGGTGCTCTCTGCCCCGAGCAGTGGCACGTCGCTGACGGTCGCGTCACGCACAAGGGTCACCTTGCCGTCAACATGGACCGTTTTGAGGACTCGCGCCCTGGATCCAGCAATGTTAGCAGCAACGTGAGCTCCGCTGCGCCGTCCACCACCGGTACTCCAGTCATGAGTGACGCCGAGGGCAACAAGGACGATATGAAGTTCAGGTCGAGGAAGAAGAAGAAGATGACCAAGAAGGAGCTCAAGGACCGTGAGGTCAGGCGTAGACTGAGGTACATCGACTGGTTGAACAGTCCCAAGGTATGTTCTCTCCATTTCCATCCGCACCGATGCAGATTACTAACAATTTAATTAGGGTACTCCTCAGCCACCCAACACTGATGACGAGGCCGAGTAGATGTTGTTGCAACTGTTTCGGATTACGATCGCATTATGATATCTTAGACTATGCAGATTTGCATTGCTTGGCGTTTAATAGAGGCCTGGATGATTGACTGCATTTGCGTCACCGATAGATTTTGAACGTCTAGCTGCATCCTTATGATAAATCAAAAGCATTTCCTTTTCTTCAAGCTACAGTCTTGTTCCTAATTTGCGTGAGACTTCCTTCTCTATATGAGCTACCTTCGCCTATTATGACGTGCGAACACCAACGCTACCCGGTAGGGTTCAGCAACGTGAGAAGGTACCTAGAGTGGATACATCATACTGCCGTAGTAAGGTAATTACTCGGTGGTCTTGATTGTGCTTCTGCGTTCAATGGTGTAGACGTATACTAAGCTGCTTGGGATGTCGTCGCGTGCATTGTCTTTGTTGTCTAGAATACCCAATGCTTCAACTCCTACAAACCGACCGGTCGTGTTTTCATTTGACTTCTTCACTCATTCATCAGTGTGGTGGTTCAATCGGTGGGTGCAGAGCACAGATTGCGTGCCTTCGCTCCTTCCACCTTCACTATCTCACCAATCTCACCAGTCCACTGCCCCACCCAACGAACACCCACGCTCCGCAAGTCGGACCCTGAAAGGTCCAAGGTGAGTATCGCCACTCAACAGCTTTTGCCTAGCGGGATAGCAAACGCCTGCAGCTGCTCTTTCGCCTCGCTCCGTTGATATAAGCCCGCCTTTCTCTTCCTCTTTCCATCACCTTCCCCCACCACCTCTCTCCACTATCAACCCCTCCACACTCTCTATATCACACACAACCACGACGACAGTACCTGCAAGTACGCTTCCATGAAGCTCATCACTGTCGCCCTCGCTGGGCTGGTGGCGCTCGTCGCTGCCTCGCCGGTCGAGACTACCACCGCTGCTGCGGCTTCCAAGTATGAGAACGATGATGTCCACACGTAAGTTGCCTCGCCTTTCGTTGATGTTGTAAGAGGATGGTATACTGACTATCAACAGATACAAGTGCGACAGCGACAAATACGTCCTCTCTTGCCTCCGCTCCGGCACCTGCTCTTTCGTCGAGGCGTGCTCCTTTGCGTGCGCCGACAACAGCAAAGGTGCTTGGTGCACTGGTGAACCCGAGAAGCGTGACGTCGACTTCGATGTTCACATCGAGGACAAGAAGACCTACGAGTGCGCCAAGGATCGCACTGGTGTCTTGGTCTGTCAGTACGGCTTCTGCCAGACCGACCACTACTGCAAGAAGGGCTGGAAGTGTCGCGACAACTGCAACTGCTGCAAGAAGCCCAGCATGTTCGACCGAGACGTCGACGACGCCGACATCACTGAGGCATCTCCACGGTCCAAGGACCCATCTGTCTCTTCTGCTCATGTAAGCAATCTCCTGTATTCTCATTGAGCTTGAAGAGATCTGTACTACAGATTCGGAATCGCTCGCATCTCACCTCCGATGGCTACAATTTGTGTCGCAGATCTTTCCAGGTCGAAGTATACATCGTCTTAGCAAGTATGTACTTGTTAAGATTTAGTTGCATGCATGCTACAAACTGCGACATGAAATCTTTCCACCCCTGACCAATACGTCCTTCTCCCGCAATAGCACATTGCTAACAAAAGTCTTCAGGCCCCCACCGTCGTCGAGTCGGACACTTTGGCCAAGCGTGATCCTCCTCCCTGTGCGCCTGGAACCTATACCTGCTTGGACTCCGCCACAACTGGTGCCTGGATCATGACCTGCGACTACAAGGGTACGTGGAAGTACTCGTCGAACTGCGGTACTTTGAAGTGCCTCGAGCGATCCGATGGAGCCGCCCATTGCTGGAACCCGGGACCGGAGTGGAACACGGATCCAGCAGTCGCCAAGCGTGAGGATCCCTGCATGCCTGGGACCTATGACTGCCACACCGACGAAACAGGTGACGCCTGGATCATGACCTGCGACTACCGGGGCAAGTGGGTGGAATCTGCCAACTGTGGCGATTTGAAGTGTCTCGCGCTATCCAATGGTGCCGCGCATTGCTGGAACCCAGGACCAGAGTGGAATACGGCAGTTGAAGCTCGTGATGAACCATCGGAAGTTCCATCGGATGTCGCTCCATCTCAGTCTTGTGAGCCTGGAACATTCGATTGCACCTTCAACTTTGGCACAGGAACGAGCTGGGTAATCACTTGTTCTCCATCTGGAGTCTGGTAAGTTCTAACCCTACGAAGTGTATTTGAGGCATATACTGACTTGGTACCTCTACCTCTGCAGGCTCTGGTCAGCCGACTGTGGTCAGGGACAGATCTGTGATCGAGCAGCTGACAAGAAATCTGCCCACTGTAGGCAGGGTGCGAAGCTTACCCTTGGAGCTCGCGATGAGCTTACCCTTGAAGCCCGGGATGAGCTTCTCCAAGTCCCATCAGAGCTGGCTCCATCTATGTCTTGCTCACCTGGAGCGTTCAACTGCGCCTATAACAACGCGACTCAGACGGAATGGACTGTTACTTGCGAGCAGTCTGGAGCCTACTGGCAGTGGTCTGCCGACTGCGGTAAGGGTTGGAAGTGCGTTTCGGACGGTCGTGTTGCACACTGCGTCCCAAAACAAGCTTTATTCGAAGCCTGGCAAGCTTGGGAGGCCACCCAGACCTCCACATCGACTCTCGAGGTTGAGACTTCAGCAAAGGCTTGAGCGGAGTCTCAGATAACAGAGTAGAAGGATGTGAGGATGAGAGCGATCGGTGCGCGCGGCCTTACAGATACGCCTTATGGGTACGCCAAATCCACCAAGAGCATGCAAGGCGCAGATGGCAGTCGCTAGTAGGGCTTTAACCACTCTTCATGACGTCGTTTCTGAAAGTAACAATGAACGAGATACTTGCGGTACCTTGGCCCTTCTCTTGTGTTGCATGTGATTTCTGACAAGCGGTGACTGGTCTTTTCGCAACCCGGTGAGCGAATAGTTGAGGATGATGTCGTGAGGCAGAAGGATGCGATCGATCGAATGCGACGTCGCTAATGGTTGGTGGCGCTAAGGATCTTATGCCGCGGATCTGAAGCTTAGCAGCTGCACAACAACAGTTTGGCTGCAAGCTGCATGCTGCGCTACATGTTTTTGTGGTATCTACAGGAAAGGCACGCGAAGACGCGTCTATCAAGTCTAATCAAGAAATGAAGATTAAGAGCAAAGAGCCGACAGGAGCCCGTCGCAAGCAAAAGACCCCTTAGAAAACTGGCGGGGCTCACCCAGCACCTAGTCTCAGATCGACATCGCGTCCCTGCATACACTCGTCATACGTTAAAAAACAACCCTCTTCCAGCTGACCAAGAAACATGCACAGTAGCGCCAAACGTCTACCGCGATTCGAGGCCTGTAGGATGTTGAAGATCTAGACTTTCCTCTCCCCCTCAGCTTCTTCTTCCTGCTGTGCACCTTCTACGAGCCTTTACTTTCGCAGATTGACCTTCCGCGGAGCTTCGTCTTCGCATCCAGGCAACAGCCACGATGTCGTTCATCGTCGAACATGCGAAACAGGCCGTCACCGACAAACAAACCAATGTCGTCATTTTTTCGGCCACGGCCATTGCCCTCTATGGGTACGATCAGGGAATGATGTCCCTCATCAACACGAATTATGACTACCTATCCACCATGGGCCTCGAGGAGGAATCACCAGTCGTGGGTGTGATCGTAGCGGTTTACTACCTCGGCTGCGCTGTCGGCGCTGTGCTCTTCTCCATGCTCGCTGATAAGCTGGGAAGGAAGAAGAGCATCTTTGCCAGTCTGGCAACAGCTAGTTTGGGAAATCTGATCATGTTCGTGGCTGGAATGGGCATGTTGGGAAAGAGCACGGAGATCGCATTGGGCGTTATGCTTGCTGGACGTGTAGTCATGGGATTGGGTGTTGGAGGCATTGACGCAGTCATTCCTACCTACTCTTCCGAGTTGAGCGCCGACGACTCTCGTGGCAAAGCGCTGGCCCAGGAGTTCCAGTCCAACATCTTCGGTCTCGTAATGGCATTTGGTATCAACTTGCTCGTCACCATCCTCCTTGGAAAGCAAAACCAATGGGCGTGGCGCGTCCCCATCATTGTCATGCAGGTCTATCCCGTTCTGCTGATGGCGTTTGTTGAACGCCTTCCGGAATCACCACGTTGGTTTATCTTCCATGACCGCCAGGAGGATGCGAAGAAGGCATTGGACGATATCTATGGAGATGAGGGCAAGGAGAAGCTTGATGAGCTACTCGAACAGCACGAGAAGGAGAAGGATGTCAAGGTTGGGTACATGGATATGCTCACGCCCGGTCACGAGCAGTTCCATCCCACTATGGTTACGGTAATGTGCCAGGTCAACCAGGCGCTTACGGGTTACGGTGCAGTCAGTGTGTACGGGCCGCAGATCTTCGAGGTAAGTTCTGTCCATGATCGGAGTCGTACGGTTCAACACAATACTAACATGTGAAAACAGCTCCTAGGCTTCTCAGTCCGCAACTCTGAATACCTCACCCTTGGCAACTACGTGTCCTACTTCTTCCTCATGACGCTCGCTTGGCTCTTGATCGATGCTATGGGCCGACGCAAGATCATGATCCATAGTTCTGTCATCCTTGCCACCTCATTCGCACTTCTCGGTGTTTTCGGTGGCTTAGCAGCAAACTCTGAGCCCATGAACATTCCCATTATCGTCCCTGGAATCATTGGAACCGTCATCTTGTTCGTCGCCACCGGCGCTTTCGGAATCGGCTGGCTCTCAACCGTGTGGTTGTTCCCCACTGAGGTCTTCCCGACCACCGCTCGCGCCCAAGGCACCGCCATTTCCGTCATCATCTGGGGCCTCGCCAACTTCGCCATCACTTTCCTTACGCCCGTCCTGTTCAACAACCTCGACTACTGGATTTTCGTCGTGTTCGCTGCAACCAATGCTTTCGCCGGGCTATGGACGTACTTCTACCTCCCAGAAACTGGTGGCAGAACCTTCGATGAGAACATGGACTTCTTCAAAGAGGCAGGCGAGCAGGGAACATGGAGGGTTGGTAAGGTCGGCAAGGGCGAGTGGAAGAAGATGTACTACCCTGATGCCGAGGGAGGCGATGCCGTCGAGGCAGAACGCGTACCGCTGTTGCAGAGGGTGGAAGACCAAGTTCCTAGCGTGGAACAGTCTAGAGAGCCGAGCCAACAACGGGAACAATAGAGAAAGGAAGCCCAGCCTTCTATGAAGCGGGGGTTCTGAGGAACCCTCGCGGCATAGTAAAAGCGGCGCAAAAGGTAGGTCATGCTAGTCAACTTTACTCAGGGCTGCACTGACGTCATCATCTACAGTTATCGTATCAATTAGCATCAGAATGAAAATCCCATTTTTCCTCCAACAAGACTTTCGGGTGCTTCAAGATGTCGATCTAAATGACCTACCTGGTTGATGCTCGACGTTCTGCCCCACAAACTAATATACACGATATAGCCAACCCGGTTGCGGAGAATACCCGGCATCTACGTGATCCAAGTACCGACCACGAGCCACGACCATTAGATTGAAAGCGATCAACACTATCGTCATGGCTCTGCATGTAATCTGTTTTCCGCGAGGCCAAGCGATCTTCACACATTCTACTCATAAGTCTTGCAGCGTCCGCATTGTGTGCGCGACATCTTGTTATCCTCTGTATCGACCGCCAAAATGCGCTCACTACCGTATGCGATTGCGCTCTGCGTCTCTCTAGCTAGCGCTGTTCCGTTTGCGACGGCACAAAGAACAGGCTCACCGTCCGACTCACCCCAAGACTCCGACATCTACCAGTCCTCCTATCTCGGCGGCGAGCACAACATCGATCCCTCAGACCTTCCGCATTTCACACAACTCTGGAACGCGACCTTCAATCTGGACGAGAAAGTAAATTGCCGTCGCTGCATCTCACCTCTGACCCGTCGTTAACATCACCACAGCACTGGGCGCGCCCTCTTGTTCACACACTTTCCTCCACCGGCCGCCAAATCGTCTTGACCGCGTCCACTGAGAATCGCATCAGGACCTTCGATGCAGAGACCGGCAAGCTACTGAACGAGCGCCAAGTCGCTCCACCATGGCCAATGGACCAAGCCTACTGCACGACGCACGTCAGCAAAACACTAGGCATAATGGGCACGCCCGTCATCTACCGCGAAGACGGCAACGAAATCGCATTCTTCTACGTCAAGAGCTACATCGAGGATTACAGACAACCAGGCGGCGCGTATCCACCTTTGAACTCCGTGTACTATCTCTACGGCGTGTATCTCGACACGCTACAGGATCTCTACAAATACCCCATGATCATCGATGGCAAGCCTTCCGACAACGACATGCGCAAGATATTCCTCGGCGGTTTGGTGTTGCAGCGGCCTGCGCTTCTGCTGCTGGGCGATGTGCTGTATGCGGGGTT